TCCTGTTGCTAGGATCCAGCAAGGGGATCCTTGATGGAAGACCTGGATTGTCAGCTTGGCGCTCTGCACAACCCTGGTCGTACAGGGAAAAAGACAAAAATCTACAGGCAGTTCTAACGTGGGTAGAAGGGTATATGTCGGAGTCATGTCAAATGGGTGACAGTTGGCAGATTTGAATATTTAATAGAAGAAGTTCATGCCCTGCACTAAACTAAGCTGGATCGAGGACAAAAATAATTGAATAACTGAAGCGTAACACTAAACAAGTGGGCATGGATTCTTAAACTACGAATAATCTTTGTTTTTGCTTTTATTCAATATCAAGTTCCGATTGGGTCTTTCTTTGCCTTTTTTGTTTTAGATGCTTTCTTGTCCTCCCAAAGACGCTTGCTGCTTCACCCTTGGACCTGTCTGACTTAAGTAGAGAGACCATGACTGAAGTCCTTTTCTCAGCTGTTTTGAATGGGACTGAAGCCAACTTGCTGTCCAGCAGTGGCTGGTCTCCAGGAAATGCCACTAGCAAATGTTCCCTCACAAAAACTGGCTTCCAGTTCTATTACCTGCCCACCGTCTACATCCTAGTCTTTATCACCGGGTTCCTGGGCAATAGTGTGGCAATCTGGATGTTTGTCTTCCACATGAGGCCTTGGAGTGGCATCTCAGTTTACATGTTCAACCTGGCATTAGCTGACTTCTTGTATGTCCTGACTCTCCCTGCCCTGATTTTTTATTACTTTAATAAAACTGATTGGATCTTTGGAGATATCATGTGCAAACTGCAAAGGTTCATCTTCCATGTGAACCTCTATGGCAGTATTCTTTTTTTGACTTGCATCAGTGTGCATAGATACACAGGAGTGGTGCATCCTTTGAAATCACTGGGGCGGCTGAAAAAGAAGAATGCTGTTTATATCAGTACCCTTGTCTGGGTCATTGTTGTGGCTGTGATCTCTCCAATATTCTTCTTTTCTGGAACTGGGTTAAGGAGAAATAAAACCATTACATGTTATGACACTACTGCTGATGATTACCTGAGAAGTTACTTCATTTACAGTATGTGCACCACTGTGTTCATGTTCTGTATCCCATTCATATTGATTCTTGGTTGCTATGGGCTAATAGTGAAAGCTTTGATTTACAAGGATTTGGACAATTCTCCTCTTAGGAGAAAATCAATTTACCTGGTTATTATTGTGTTGACAGTCTTTGCTGTATCTTATCTTCCCTTCCATGTGATGAAGACCTTGAATCTAAGAGCCAGGCTAGATTTTCAGACTCCTCAAATGTGTGCCTTCAATGACAAGGTTTATGCCACATACCAAGTGACAAGAGGTCTGGCTAGTCTCAACAGCTGTGTAGATCCTATTCTCTACTTTTTGGCAGGTGATACCTTCAGAAGAAGGCTGTCAAGGGCAACTCGAAAAGCATCTAGAAGAAGTGAACTGAATGTGCAATCAAAAAGCGAGGAAATGACTCTCAATATTTTAGCAGAATATAAACAGAATGGAGACACAAGCTTGTGAAAGAAAAAGATTTGCAAACAGAAGCACAGTCCACCTGGTTTTAACACAGTAGGACACCACACTATAATGAGTGTTTGGGAAAATCCTACCAAGCTTGCTTTTGTAAAAAAAAAAAAAAAAAAAAAAAAATTACAAAAAGCAAACAAACAAACAAAAAAACCAAACTCATTTTCTGAGCCTAGGGAAAACTTAAGCAAAGTAAGTGGGGAAAAAAATTAATCTTAATGGGCAAAAAAAACTTTAGGTTTCAGTTTTTATGTTTTTTATGCTTGCAATATTTTATCTTGTCTTTCTGATTGGTGTCAGATATAGTAAAACAAAGTAAACCCCTAAGGGGAAAAATAGCATTAAAAGTGTTACTGTTTTATTTATTAATTCTCCTTGCTCAGAAAACCTTTTTCCTTAACTAGTCACAGATTTAAAAAAAATGAAATCAACTTATATGGGGTTCAGTCCATTCATCCAAACATAGCTCTTTTTGTTGGCTCACTCGCACACAGTAACAGTTGTTTAGGCTAAGATCGTGGTACAGTAATCTCATTTTAAATGCAGTCTTTTGATTTCTGTACCTTCTTCTTTTGGAGCTAGTAGAAAGGATTTGGTATCTCAATAGCACCATGTATGATTGAATCCTCACTGAAGGTATATTGCATGTACAAATTATTATTACTTTACATGAAACCTGTTGGTGAAATCCTGACCCACCAGAACTCAAACTGGCTTAAAGCAAGAATTGTAACCCAGGTTTTAAAACATGTAGATATACAGGCTTCTAGCTAGTTTTCTGTGCAAACTCCTGCTTAACACACCATTACAGTCAAAATTATGTGCAGATGCCAGCATTGAAAAGTGAGCAGGTGATCCCCTACTCAATAGTTTAGCGCTTAATGCCATGTTTGTTCTCATTCCTTGCTACTGTTCTCAATGAGAAGACCACAGAATGGGTTGGAATGGCAGAGCTGGGCACTTTACAAACTTGATTGACAGTTGTTTTTGAGAGTGATAAATTTTGACCAGCACCCGACAACAGACCTGACATTTGGCATCTAATGCTGGAAGTTTGTATCAATTTCCTCATAGAAATATATGTTATTGAAAATGTCTGTATTTTTATCTGGGCAAAAGCTACAACTATATGAATGATTTTAATCTCCATTTGGTATCAACAATCTTCTGAGATAACGTAAGAGCTGATTCCCTTGTAAAGTCTTTTAAAAATGGGCTAAAGAACAACATTTTTGTAATCAGAAAAATATATAAAGAACTTAATCTCTTTCTTTTTTGCTGTGAATAAAGTATTATTGTAGTAACAAGATGCCAAAATACACTACAGATAATTTCACACTGGAAGTGAGTCTGAGCCACCCTCTATAATTTATTTAATCCAAACGTAGAAAAAGGTTACTTAAAATCAGGAAAAACAGTACGTTGTGTAACACACAATCCTATTAGTGGAAAGAGCAGTCTTATAATGAACTGAGAACAGAACAAATCTGTGTGGAATAGAACTTAATTTATTTATCAAATATATTGTTTTGATACGTGTTTCAAAATATATGCTAGAAAACTGTATGAAAGATCTGGAATTATAAATTTAGTGTATAAAATTATATAATCTTGTAAATAGTTTTAACAAACCCTCATCCCCTCAAATTTTATATTTTGGATAGAAACACATTATTTACATCTTGACTTAATTTTGAAAGATTGAATATAAGCAGAAAAAAATAGCTTGAGGTATTTCTTGACTACATTGCAAAGCAGCTTGAATTTATAAACATAGAGCTACTTAATCTGCAAACAGTATTTATTTATTTATTTATTGGAAGACTAAGTACAAATGTAAAATATTGTCTGATACATTTTAAATGATTTTGTTTTTTATATTTTTCAGAATTGGGCATTAATGGAAAAAACAATTAATGAAATGTTCACATTGTTGTAATACTGTATACTATAACTGAACAGTTTTTACAATAAACTCTGTTTCACCCCACTAAACATTTTAGACTACCATTCACTGTTGACATGTAGCCGGTGTATAAACTGCTGCTTAGCAAGCATTCTATCTTACAATAATGATAAAAAATACATTAAAATTAATAAATTTAAGACCTACAGCAAAATAAACAAACACCTTCCAAAAAAGCCCTAAACTGACACCAAGGCCAGTGCTTTGTGACAAAATATTGTACGATGCATAGGTCTTGGTTCCCATTTACACTAAATCCCATTTATGCTGCCAAAGAATGAGAATCTGGCCCACATTATGTTGTATGAAACATTATGTACTTATCCGAGACTGTACTTAACTGAGACATGCACTGCTTGGCATAGCAGATGGTTTAAAGACAAAATGTTGGAATAGATTTTCAGCCTGTTCTCTCAATGTTTTGTTCTTACATGTTTAAATCCATGTTACTTTCCAAAGTTTTGTGGACTATTTTTCTTTCTTCTTTCAATCAGGAAATAACATATTCCACTCATTTTTGTTTGAAAAAGTTCCTATATGCCTATACACTCAGTAGAGAGTAAAGCCTTGAATTCAGGTAAGTCTATTTAGATACACTTTTAAGGAGGATAACCTACCCAACCTAAAGCCTTATGTTAAAATGTGTATCACTAACATGCTAAAATGACTGTTTATTCATTTATATACATTGGGGCTAAAACAGTTAAGAGTGAGAGTAAAGTTTTACAGACACAATTGTACAATTTGTGCATTTATGGAGTGAAGGCCACTGCAAAACCGTATAACTTCTTGGGCAAAATCTATTCTTCCTGAATGAGAGATTGCTGTGCTTCTGTTTCTTCATGGGTGTACAGTATTCTCCTGTAATGCACCATTCCCAATAGCAAGGAATGATCTAGTACCTGTTTGGAAGGTTTCTTCCAAATACCAACAACTAACCCATTTTCTGAGCCAAGGGGAAACTTCAGCACATCAAAGTACAAAAAGAAGTAATGACAAAAAGATCAGTGCAGATCTTGCTTCCATGCACTTTTGAGGGAAAGGTGCACAGTTTTAGTCTGCTATGATGATCCTGTCTGTAATCAACTTCCATTTTAGAGAGAACCTGCACAAGCAACAGATATCATTCACAGATAAGCTTCCATGTTGCAATGAGAAAAGACATTAAATATATTTCCCTTAAAATATATTTTCTTTTTTTCAGGTCCTACCACATCCAGAACTACCATCCTGCTCCGATGTGACTCCCTGATGTGCACATATTGAGATGTCACAGTTACCACTAAACCCAGCTGGAACATGGAGCTGATCCACACAATCTCATGTTAAGTCCCTTCTTTTTTTTTAAAAACTTTGCTGTATTTGGCATATACTCTATATCGTAGAGTAGGTAGATCGATGGCAAGATCATGCAGAAAAGACTTTTTAACTCCATTCTCCAGCATGGTTACTTTGTATCTGCAACATCACAGCACAGTGTATATTGGGCCATCACATCGAAGAGGAAGCTGGTCAACTATGGCAATTACAGACCAGAAATAATAGGTTTTCCTAGAACAGTGTTTCTTAACCTTTTTAGACTCAAGGCATCCCTTGGAAAGTACTCGGTCTTAGCTTTCACGTGATTTCTTGACCATGGAAAAATGATAAAGCAGTTCTTCTGTTGCAAAGAACTTAGACTACAGCAGGCCAGAATGGCTTTGACACTGTAGATACATGTTTGAAATCTCTGGGTTTATCTGGTGAATCATGTAGGTATTTGTATCCCACAACACCCTTAAATGGATCTCATGGCACCCCAGGATGTCACAACACCCTGGTTGAGAATCACTGTCCTGGAAAGTATGTTTAATGCCCCTCTTAACTTAGCCCTGGAGGTATATTGGCAATATATATTTTGTACTAAAAATGATCACCCTGACTAGTCTTGAGGCCAAAAATGCCTTGCATTTATCCATAGAACAAGCATGGTATAGGCGATAGCAGGGTAAACTTCCCCTAAATCACCTCAGCATTGTTTCTCATTCCTGGCCAAAAGGGACCATCTTTAGGTAGGTAAGAAGAACTCAGTCTATTCTATTCAGTCTTTGACTTTGCTGAAGCTTCCAACTATGATGTCATTTAGCAAAAATGATGATAATTCCTGTTGTGGTCTTGTTCAACTGAATCTAGGCAGTCACTTCATCATAAAAAAAACACCTTCCAGTGCTGAATTTACTAAACTTGAACCAGCAAGTTAAGTGATTGCTCTGTGTTTTATGATTAATTCCTTGGGCTTATTTTTTTTTTGCTTTCCATCTTTGCTGGTCATCTTCAAAACAAATTATTTATTGAGGGAACCATTACAACCCTTGGGGTAAATGCTTTTAAGGAACTGGATACCTGACCTACTAAGCAGAGCTACAGAGATCCATAAAGAAGCAAATGACTATTCATAGGATACAATTTGCATTCAGCTCCATTGAGCCAAATTTTTCTCATTTATGCCCATGCATTCCCAGGAAGAATAATGTTTAATGCAAAATGAAACATCCATGGAATCTAGTTACTGCACGTAGGCTACAGGCACTTTTGGCTGGGTATCTTGGCTGTTTAAATTATGTTTTGCTTTTATATAATCAGTTTTGAATCAAGTTTATATACTACAGCAAAAGCTCTGTTATCCGGCACTCATGGGGAATGGGTTATTTCACCTGCTGTTTCCCCATCTATGAGGAAGTGATGGTATAGAACATAGGAGAGAGCATTAACTCCTGGTATATTTTTACTGGAATCTAAGTACATAATGCTATATAAAATAGCAATTACTTTTATATACCCATCTCCTACTCCCAAAATGTAGTCTCAAGAGAATTATATTCCTTTGGGTATGAGGAGGGAGGAAGAGGGGAAAACATATTTCAAATTCTTCATTCTTCTGAGATTTTTTTTGCCCCGTGTTACTTTTATCCCCTAATAATGTATACAGTTTTCTGTCTGTGACGAGGGCATATTTTCTAAAAATATAATTTAATACATGCTATTCCTAGCCTAAGTATTCAAGTGCCCAATTTCTGCCTGGAGTCAAGTTTTATGAGAGAGAAATGCACTATTTTGCTAGATGCTGCATGAAGTTCTCTCTCAGTCTAGGCATTTCTTCCAATGTTGCCTGAAGTTC